TACATCCAAATTCTTTACCAAAGTTGAATTAAAAATCAAACACAGAAAATAAACACTATGATAAAAATAAGAAAAAATGCAATCAGACTCGCATAGTTCGTCACCTCACATGCATACAAACAGTTGGTGAATCACACTGGCGCATAGCGCCCAACTCAAAACTCGAAGATATGGAAACCAAGTCACAGTTCAGGTGTAAGCTCGCTTCCACAGCCTGTGGTGCATCAACACCCACAGATCGCAACTCTTGTCTCCATGTCCAACACCACTGTTCACTTCAGACTTCTACTCCGGATCACCCTGGATACCCCACGCACACACTCTGCACACACACGAATTTTTCATCGAAAGTGCCATATTTCCCGGAATTTTTACTGTTTTCTCGGTTTTTCTTTTTGCCTGTTATATATGTGCTTTAGGGTATATATGCATTCACTTTCCCCGTATTTGGAGCAGTAATAAAAAACTTAGCAAAAACAGCAGACTCAAAAAAAGCTTTGGCGAACTCCAAAAGCTACTCCGAAAAGGGTTTTATGATACTCTTGATTTTTTTAATTTTTTTTTTTTTTGCCTGATTGTTTTTTTTTTTATGTTTGTATTATGACCCTGCATAGTTTGTTCACAAAAGCTTTGACCACATTGCTTGTAGCGACGCGGCGAAAACCCCCGAATTTTTAGCCTTCCATTAACCGCTAGTGGAATGCACGAGAGACGGTTAATGGAAGGTCCAAAATTCGGCAAATTTTGGCGAATGTTTTACCGAAACTGCCATATTTCCCTGAATTTTTACTTTTTTCTCAGTTTTTCTTTTTGCCTGTTATATATGTGCTTTAGGGTATATCTGCATTCAGTTTCCCCGTATTTGGAGCGGTAACAAAAAAGTTGAAAAAACTTCGCAAAAACAGCAGACTCAAAAAAAGTTTTGGCGAACTCCGAAAGCTACTCCGAAAAGGGTTTTATGGTACTCTTGATTTTAATTTTTTCGTTTTTTTTTTGCGTGATTGGTTGTTTGATGTTTGTATTATGACCTTGCATAGTTTGTTCGCAAAAGCTTCGACAACATTGCTTGTAGCGACGCGGCAAGTGTATTACTAACTATGGCAGCTATGACCGCCAACTAATTCTACTCTACAAGCAGCTATGGCTGCGCTAACTCCCTCTAGCCCACTTCGACTTCAGGCTCCTCTGCAGACCACCTCGCACAAGTCACCGTGGCAACGCTTCCGCATGGCTTCCGCAGGAATTAATGAATGGTTGGGCGTTGCCTCTTCATTTATACTTCTGTAACTCGTTGGTCTGCCCTTTCCATCGGCCCATGGTACACACAGTCCCCCATGGTACTTGCTGGACTGGACAGGGACTGACTGGACCGTGCCGCTAACTGCCTGGGGACGCACTGCTAACCTATCGCTATCGTACTGTGAACGTACTGCAGTTGGTCCACCACTTGCCCACTTGCCCACTTGCTCACTTGCCCACTTGCCTCAGTCTAAAACGTGAGCAAGCTGCGAAAGGCCACTTCCGGACCTTCTGGAAGTTTGTGGTGTTGGCCTTTCGGGACTGTAGTAGCTACGACCTAGACCTCTCATGACTAAAGGAACTACGACTTTGACCCTTCAGGACATCTACAGCTATGACTTCTGGAACTCTCTAAGACCTCTACTCGACAGGTCTACAGATCGAATCCCTATGTCTACACAGTCCTATGATAGACAAACAACAACTCACGAAACACAGGTCACGGGTTCAAACACTTCAAGGTCAACTCGATACTATACATGGGTGAGGTAAGGTCTGGGGATCAAACCCCGGGATCTGCATCTGCCTCTGCAATGGTGAAAACCGTTTCACTCCCGCCGGCCTAAATTCGAGGTCCTCCGAGAATATCTCAGTCCAAGGCCGGACCCTTACCTTTTCTATCTCTTTCGCAGGCCCTGACTATGTCGGGAGCTGTTTTTAGAAGTTCAGTTCTGGTAAACCAGCGATCGTCTTCCGGTTCGTGATATGCGAATCGAACCTTGTATTGTTTCTGAGGACGACCTCTACCTCCTGTTCTGAATATATCTTCACGTACAATGTCGTCAATGTCGTATCTTCCATCCATATCCGGAGGGATCATAGGCCTTTTGGCGGGAAACTGTTGACTTGCGACACACAACAATAACTTTGATGCGTGAAATACGGGGTAGGTGTGGAGGTGCGCTGGAATCTCTACTGTATAGGACGGCCCATCCTCTCGGCCCTTAACTTCTAGAACTAGTCACAGTCCTCTATACGCGGGCAATGGCTTTTGCGATATATCTTCCTCAGGAGCAAACTCCTTAGACTTGACCCAGACTAAGTTGCCTACTTGAAACTGTGACAGGCTACGATGCTTGTTAGCTTGCTCTATCATCCTATGCTGGGCCTTCCTGAGGTTCTCTACAACGGTAGCTATCTCCTTCTCATGCTGTAAGGCAAACTCCCTAGTACCGGGCGGTAGCCTATGGATCTGTTCCCGTTTAAGTCCCTCAAACGGTCTGCGTGGTCTAAATGACTTGTGTAATTTGTTGGAAGTGCGACACGTGGACAGGTGCACGTTGTTATTGTAGGCACTGACTACCTTTGGAAGCATCTCATCCCAGTTAGTCTGATCAGGTCTAATGTACATTCTCAGAACTTGTTGTAGGAGCTTATTCATTTGCTCAGTCTGACCGTTGGTCTCTGGATGGCGGCCAGATGACATCAACAACTTGGAGCCATGTACTCTCATCAACTCCTGCCAGTTCTTACTAGTGAACCAGGTGTCTCTATCGCTAACTATAGACAGCGGAATCCCGTGTTCACTGACCCAGTGATCAAAGAACTTATGAACTACTAACTCTGTACGTGCCTCCAACGGAACAAAAACTGCATACTTGCTAAATCTATCTACTATGACCATGCCTTGGCTCTTACTACACCTACTCTTGACGTCGGTGTCCATGAAATCAATGGACACTGAATCTCCGGTCTGGTCAGGAATAGGTTGGGGTATGAGAAGACCTAGAGGGGCACGCGTAGTAGTCTTATTCCTTTGGCAGACCTTACAACTGCGGACGTACTCTATGCACTCGGCCTTCATCCCTGGCCAAGTATACGCGCGCATCAGATTGGCTAGAGTCTTTTGCCAACCGAAGTGTCCCTCTGTATCGTGACATTCCCCTAAGATCAGGCTACAAATCTCTTCACTGTTGGGGACGCACAAGCGGTTTACTACATTAGTCTTCTCGAATAACAAACCCTCTGTAGTGCGCTAATGTGGTTCAGTCTTTGGGGCCGCCTTTACTCTCTTAAGAAGGTCGTTGTAGATAGGATCCTACGCATATGCCTCTCTAACTTTTTGTTGCAGGTCCTTCCCTATATCTAGGTAATGGACTATCGCCCCAAAGTAGTATGACCTCCTACTTAGCGCATCCGCAAGTACATTGTACTTACCCTTAATTGGCTTGAGCTCAAAGTCGTACTGGTTTATCTCTTCGGCCCACCTAGTTAACTTAGGAGTCATCTTGGCCTGCGTCTTCAACCACCTCAACGTCTCGTGGTCTAAATAAACCTTGAAGTGCCTCCCAAGCAAGTAGTGCTTCCAGTGTTCTAGTGCTTGCCTGAGATCGTAGAGTTCCCTCTCGTAGGTGGATGTTGCTACCTTCTCTGAAGACATCCTAGCAGACATGAACTCTACGGGTCTATATCCGCTGCCATCGTCTTGCTGCAGTACGGCACCAATGCCATACTGGCTTGCGTGAATAGTAACAACGAAAGACAAGGACGGATCGGCGACCTTAAAGACTGGATACTCTATCAACGCCTGCTTCAACTTTTTCATGGCAGACGTGCAGTCCTTATCCCACTTCCAGATTGTTTCTTTCTTCAGCAATCTGCGAAGAGGTGCAGCGATGGTAGAAAAGTTTCTAACAAACTTCCTGTAGTAGTTCGCTAGGCCTGAGAACGATCGCAACTCTGTCAGCGTGCGGGGTGTAGGCCAATCCTTAATCGCTGCGATTTTGCTATCCTCTGGCTTAATGCCGTCTCCGTCTAAGACGTGGCCTAAGTACAAAACTTGAGTCTTTGCCCACTCGCACTTTTTGGGGTTGATCTTGAAGTTAGCCTCTCTCAACTTCTCCAAGACCTGCCTCAGATGACCCTGGTGCTCTTGAAGGGTCTTGCTAAAAACTAGAATGTCATCTAGATATACTACTACAAATTTATCTAACGAAAGCCTAAACAGGTCATTCATACAACGCTGAAAAGTCGCTGGTGCATTGGTTAGTCCAAAGGGCATGACTATAAACTCGTAGTGCCCATACCTAGTCCGGAATGCAGTCTTATACTGATCATCGGGATGAACCTCTATCTGATGATATCCAGACTTCAAATCAATCTTCGAAAAGTACTTGCAACCCTGCACCCGGTCTAAAAGATCATCTATGCGGGGCAGCGGCTCAACATTCTTTACCGTAATAGCATTGAGACCCCTATAGTCGATACACATCCTGAGTTCTCCCTCCTTTTTGGGGACAAATACCATAGGTGCTCCAAATGGAGACGAACTGAGCCCAATCCAACTCTTCTCTAGGAGTTCGTCTAACTGCTTGCGTAGTTCCTCCAACTCCTGTGGAGATATTTTATACACCGCTCCTTTGGGAGTTCTACTACCATGCTCAATCTCAATGCGATGTTGGATGGGCCGCGGTACTACTCCTGTCGGCAGCTCAGCTAAATCCTTAAACTCTTCCAGCAGTTTGGCAATAGCTGGATCAATGGGCTTCTCCTCCTTAGGCTCAGTGACAGGCCCGACGTAAACTACGAAGACCTGTTCCTCTAATTTCTCCTTTTTCACCAAACGGGCAAACGCAGGAGCACTGAGACAGCAATGTGCCAGGGTGTTATCTACACTTGACGCATTGAACAGACGGGCAGTCTTGACCTCGCCTGACGGGCTAGGGAGCCTACACTCATGCTCTCTCAAGTGGAGTGTGGCCCCTGCTGCCTCTCCCCAGTCCATACCTAGGACTATATCAAAAGGAAGGTCATCCTGTACGAGGAGAGTCAGGGAATGGAAAACTTTCTCCACTTTCCTATCTTACTATGGGGTCTTCTAACTTTTGGACTTTTAACCCTAGTTTCAACTTCTTCAGCGCTCTACGACTAATATAACTACGGGTAGCCCCTGAATCTATAAGGGCCCCTACTCTGTTTCTAAAAACTTCAACATCTACTAACACTAGCTGTCCTTTACTCTCCTTTTTCATCTTGGCCCAGGCGGGCATTCTCTCCTTCAGCTCATCGGCCACGCCTGTGAGGGAAGTGCCTAAAGAGACTCTGATACAAGCAATCTCTGGACAGTTATTTAGGCACCGGCCCGCAACCTCTGCCATAGGCACATGTGGTGTGGGAGTTTCTTGTCGGCTCGTGCTCGTTTCCCCACATGGCCTTATGGTAGGGGCAGTTGCAACCCCTACCGGCGGCTGCGTTTTTCCTGTTGGGCAGCCCATCGGGCCTCTCTATACTTTGGACAATATTGAATAATGTGGCCAGGGTCACCGCAAAATATGCACTGCCCCTGGTCCACACGTTGCTGCCATACCCGCTGGTCCAGGCCCAAATCCTCCCAAGGTCGGCCCTGTGGCAGACCTGGGTGCCAACCACCTCTCCTATAGGGTGATTTGTTACCCCTATTAGGCGACCTGTTCCCGGAACGGTTTTGTGGGGGACCTTGGCCCCTTCCTCCCGCTTGGCAGTTTCCTCCTCTACCACCAACCCCCTGATCGCCCTGAGTACGGTCACCTGAGGCCCGACCCCCTTGGCCCTGGCCTCCTCCTCTACCTTGCGGCCTCCCCCCGGCCGCGACAGCAGCGTAAGTCCTGCCCTGACTTCCACTTTTTCCCTTCGTCAAGGTCCTTGTGCCAGAAGGTGGAAACTGACATGGACCGCGCTTTAAAAGCTACCACTTCCCTGCTCAATGCGTCGTAGGTCATGGTAGGTTGTTGGCTCTTCTCAAAGAAGTGCCCACGTAGCAATTCGGGCATAGCCTAGTAGAAGAGGTTGACCAATTGGGTCTTTGTGACCCCATGGTCAAGAACAACTACTAACTCATCCATTACTCCTTTGAGTGCCCTGACACTCCTCCACTGATGAGAGCGGATAGTCTGCAACTTATCGGAGGCTTTGACACTGCGCGAAACATCTGCAAATCGTTCGCGTAACAACTTAAGGAAATCGGCGAGGGGAGTAAACGCGGAGTGTGCAACTACATCTTCGTTGCAATTTGCAGCGCGAACTAGGGAACGGACAAAATTGGCGGCCTCCTCCTTCAGCGAGTAAATGGCGACTAGAACATGCTCATCTGGGAGACCTTTTGCAAGTGCACGTAGGTCTTTATATTAGCCTCCCAGTTGTCAAAGTTCTCTTCCTTCTTCCCACTGGAGGAATCGGGGAATTTGACTTTGATAGGCTCCCTACGCGGGCGTACTTCCTCTTCCTTGGGAGCGGCCAATTTGGCGCCCTCTATGGCACCCGTGCAATAGCGCTCTGTGCTGTCTAGGCGGGCCTCCACTTCGGAGCCCACCTGTGTTGCCAGTTCCCGCACGAAATCTCTGAGCCCCAATCGTATAGAACGCATGGCAATATCTTGACTTCTACCAACTAAAAATTGTTCTTCCGGGACTCGTGCCAGACGCTCTGTGTTCCTCGCCATGATTTCCACCTTCCCCAATAAATCCACCTTCGTCGCCATTTGATCTCTCTGCTTCTTTATCTCCTCCAACTCTTTCCCCGCCTGACTTGCCGCCTCCATCCTTCTTTTCCTTTCCCTTGTCAGACGAAACTTCCACTCCATCCTTTTCTCATCTTCCAACACCTGCCGCTTGAGTGGATCTTCTTCCGCATCCCACTCTTTTATGGCCGCCTCCTGTTCTTCCCTGGGCACATACATTAAGGCCTCCTCATCTTTTCCCAGGGACAATCCAACAACCCACTCTGTAATTTTCTTCTCCATTTGGTCTTCTTTTGTGCCACTGGGTTCACCTCTTCCTCCTACCCTTTGCCTTTCCAGTGGCTGTTCTTCCTCCTCTTCCTCCTCTTCTACCGCCTTAAGCTTTGCTTCTTCTTCTCTCTTTAACCTCTCCTTCTCCCTGGCCATCTCCTCCTCAATCTTTTTCATCTTTGCCGCCTGTTCCTCCATCAAGGCCTTCTTCTTGGCCTCCTTCTTCTCTCTTCTTTCTTTCAGAATGGCGGCGGCCTTGGCTTCCGGCTCGGTCGTGTAGGGCGAGGTACTCGTCCCCGTACGTGTGTCTACCCTATACATAAACGTGTTCCAGAATCCCAGTGGAAAAATGAAACGCCAGAGGGTCCCCCGAAGTGAGAACCCCACGAGCAAGCCGTACATGGGGTAGTCGTCCATGGTGTTCAAGTGCACGACAAGGTTGTCCCACTCCTCACCACGTAGACCTACCCAGACAACTGACTAACTTACTCTCTATGGACTACAAAATCTTACCCTTCGTTCCAGCCAGATTACCACGGCCGACGGAAGCTTTCGCAACCACAGTCCTTGCAATCTAGATCAGATGCCCAGCACCTGCGGTCAAACCCACCTGGCTTTTACTCCGGTTCAGACCCTATCAACTAGGGTCTTTAGCCTAGACTCTAATACTACAGCCGTCACTACAGAACCTGTTGCTGATCAGGAGGCATTTAAGGAGATCCCCCGTAACTGCTCAAGAATTCTTTAACGTCGCAGACAAGATGACACGATTAGCAGGTTCTCTCAAAACGTAAACGGCCCGTTGTGCAACCGACAACTCAGATTTCGGGCCTACCGTGCCACAACGAGCAGCCCGCCGGTCAGTACTGGTCTTTGGGAGGGTTAGGCGGCTTAGGCCTCCGTGACAGTCGGGTCGTCAGACACAGTTTTTAGCCCTACTCTACCGGCAGGGGTTTGGTCAGCGAAGCCCTATCCTTCATACACGGAGTCCTATCACCTGGACATAAGAGACTCAATGCAGAAAGAAGAGACAGACAGACTCAGACTCAGCAAGTACCATAGGGTGAGTGCACATCCATAGGGCGGGGGGATAGGCTGAGGGTTCGACGAGATTATACCAACTCCAGCTTGGTCAAAATCGTGGTCAGCAGCTCCGGTCAACGCCTTGGTCAACGCTTCGTCAACGTGGTCAAACCCTGGTCAACACTCCGGTCAACCCTCTGGTCAACGCCCAGTCAACCCTCTGATCGGCTATGGCGACCGACACCTTCTTCCTCGCCAATCTCCCTTCTCTTTCTCCTCCTTCACCCTTCTTCTTTCTCGCTGTTTCTCTTTTTTTTTTTTTTTTACACCCCCGACGATGTTTGTCTTCACCTTCGTTTTCCCTCCTTCCTCCTTCCTGCTTCTCT